GAAAGAATAAAGGAATGAAAGCTCTATAACTATGACTATCACAGAACACCAACCAACACCCACAGCATGTTTTCCCATCCCATCAGACCATCAGCTCTATGAGGCTGTTTAGCCCAGCTTCTTCCGCACCCCATTGCCTCCCTAGCCCCTATTAGCCCCCTAATAATATGTAGCTAATGAATGAATCCATTATCTCATTTGAAACTCACAGTAATCCTGTGAGGGAGCAAGGGCAGGTATTATTACCCCCTTTTGCAGATAAGACAGTGAGTCCCAGTGGGAATTGTTCCAAGTCACTCTGTTGGGGTGCGTGTTGCAGAAAAACCAAAGTGCTTTCCAGGGTTTGATTAACTTGATTAATATGCATTCAAATCACCTGAGATCTTATTAAAAATGCAGATTCTGAATCAGTAGATCTGGGGAGGGACCTGAGATCCTGCATTTCTAACAAGCTCCCAGGTGCTGCTGATGCTTGTGGTCCTGGACCACAGTTTGAGCCCCAAGGTGAGTGCTAGTCATCATAAAGTTTTTTGCTGGCCATTGCATTAAGATAGTGTTTTTAAAATCTACAAATGATCATTTAAGCCCTGACTCCAAATCAAGGGCTCTTCCTAGTCTATAACTTACTCACATTGCTTACAAGCTGAGCACAGGATGAGTGTCTGGCAAGTGCTAGGCTGGGGATCTGAGATGCCTGCATCAAAACCACTCAGAAGTCTGAAAATTTTAAGACAGGAGAGAGATCAGGACAGATTCCTCCATGCAAACTCAGGAAGATTTCAAAATTCAGACTGAGTGGCAAAGTTGTATGCGTTTATTTATGGTTTTCAAACTGCAGTCCTTACACCATTAAAAGGGTTGGAGATGACTTAAAAGAAACCTACACAGGCAGTGTACCTACTAAGAACGGGGGAAAAAAGGCAGAAACATTGAAGACTAGGATCTGAAAATCTGATGGAGGTTATGGACCTTTGCTCTAGAAAAATGAACATATTCATATACACAACAGTTGGCATACCACCTCAGAAGGTGCATGGATCCCCCTGAAGGCCATTCAAAAGCCCAGGTAAGGAACATCCAACATAGAGAATAAGGAGAGGAAATTATGCCAGCATCCAGGCTGAAGATGACAATTGTATTTGGATGCTCAAATCAGCTCTGAGATGAATTGTGGCAGCCGAGGTGAAAAGGGAAACAAAATAGATTGCAGGCTCTTCGTGTCTGATAATAAAAGGAAGAACATCAGTCTTTCAAGAGGGAGAAATGTTTTCTTAGCCCTAATTCTAAGAGTATATTGTCATGATGGGCACTAGATGGGAGGCAGTTTAATATAGTGATTAAGAACGTGGACTCTGGAGATCACCTCCCTGGGTTCAAACCTAAACACTGCTAGTTGCTGGTTGTGTAATCTCAGGTGACTTTGTTAACCCCTCTGTATCTCAGTTTCCCTATCTATAAAGTGGGCTTTTCATGGGGGATTAAAATAGTTATTATATGTGAAATTCTTAGGGCATTGCCCATATATTGCTAGCATTATGTGTTAGCTGTTGTAGGAAGGCAGCATGGGGTAGTGATAATGAGTGCAATTAGATTGCCTGCTTCCCCTCCTGGCTCTACCACTTCTTAGCTTTGTGACCTTGGGCAAGTTCCTTCACCTCTCTGCACTTCAGTTTCTTTATCTATAAAATGGGTATAATAAAATTACCTACCTCACGGAGTTGTTAAGATGGCTTGAAATAATCAGCGTAAAGAGCTTAGCACAGGGCCCAGTATGCAGTAAGTACAGAATAATGCTTGCTATTATAAGGTTCAGAGGTATGATGGGTAATAAAACCCTCTAACATTTCGTTTTATGTCTACACTATAATTTATCTACCCAGTTCTCTCTTGATGGACTTTAATGTGGTTTCCAGTATCTTGCTATTATAAATTACACTGTAGCAGATAATTTGTACATATATCTTTACACAGTTCAGTGTGTATACTGGTAGGATAAATTCCTAGAAGTGTAATTGCTTAGCCAAAGGGTGTGTGCATTTTGATAGATACAGCTTAAATTGCCTTGAAAGAGGGTGTACCAATGTATACTTCTATTCTGTGTAAGAAAGCTGCTGTCTCCACATCTCGTGAACACTGGGAATTCTCAGATGTTTTAATATTTATCAGTCTGATAGATGAGGACTGATAGCTCATTTCTTTCACATGAGTGAGAGTCATTATCTATTCACATGTTTATTAGCCACTTGTATTTCTTTTTATGTGAACTGCTTGTTCCTTTTCCCATGTTTTCATTGGGCTTTTCTAATTTTTTTAATTGATTGTAGGAACTCTTTGTCTATTAAGCAAACTAGCGCTTTATCAAATGTACACCAAATATATTTTCCCTTATTTGCCTTTTGGCATCATTCATGCTAATTTTCATATTTTCCAGGAAATGCAAATGCCTGCTTCATAAAACTATACCTCATATGAACACCTTCTGTGAGGCAAGGTGAGAAAGTTCATGTTTGTAAAATGGAGAATGAGAATAGGAGTGAGCTCCATAAACTTTCTTACAAGCAGAGTTTTCTTCTACCAATGCTTTTGACTTATGGCTGTCAAAGCCAATAATATTTATTTATTCATTCAGTAAACATTTCTTGAGCACCTGAGAGGGGTAGGACTTATTTTTGGATCATAGGAGACCATAGAGATGCTTGCCCTCAAGTAGCTTTCAGTCTTGGGGACTGGGGTTGGAGGGGAACAGGACAATGGGATGGCTCCCATAGAACTCCAATCAGCTCTCTCATTTGCATTAAGATACATGGCTTCCTAAAACCCGTTTCAGCTGTGTGGGGGAAGATGAAATGGAAGAGCAGAGCCTGGTGGCCGACAGGCTAGCTTGGGGAGGGGACATATGGAAGAGCCCAGATGAGAGCTAATGGTGGCCTGAACTAGGAAAGTGGCAGGGGGTGGAGAGAAGGAGCCACAGAGTGGAGTGCAGCATGGTTTGGAGGGCAGATGGTCAGGCCAGGTGGGACAGGGAGATGGTTTCAGAGCTTTTTCCTGGAACCTTGTTGCTTACGATGATTTGTGTGGTGACTCAGACACCCTGATGACCTGAAGAGATCCAAAATGAAAACACACACATGCACGCATACCCATTCATCCCCAGCCCCTACACACACCCACACACACATTCATCCCCAACCCCCCTCCATATACACACACATTCATCCCCAGGCCCCCTTACATGCCCACACACACATTCATCCCCAGCCCCCCTGCATACCTACACACACATTCATCCCCGCCCCCCCCCACATACACACACACATTCATCCCTGCCCCCCACACATACACACACACATTCATCCCCAGCCCCTTCCACATACACACACACACACACACACATTCATCCCCAGTCCTCCCTACACACCCCCCCAACACATTCATCCCCAACCCCCCTCCATATACACACACACATTCATCCCCAGTCCCCCCGCATACACACACACACATTCATCCCCATTCCCTCCGCATACACACACACACACACACATTCATCCCCAGTCCCCCATACACATACACACACATTCATTCCCAGCCCCCCTACATACACACACACACACAAATTCGAGGTCTTTCTAATTTAAGCCATTTGACAACTTGGACTGACACGTGGACCTTTGAGGCTCTGTGTGTCCTGGGATGGGGATTGTAGCAACTGCAGAAAGTGTTAGAGTCAAACACTATGTTTAGCTTCCCTGCTTTCTTAGAAATTTCCCATATGACTAAGAGAATGAGATCAGCCCGGGAAAATAAATGCAAAGAGGCCAGAAAACAGGTCTTTTAAAGAGACCTGGTCATTAAATCCCCATCCTCCATTCAGTGGCTCCCAATATGTCTTTCATGATGGAATTAGGATTTGAAAGGCCTTAAATCTCATCTAGTCAACTCCCCAACCACTACCACCAATTGATGCATTACCCCCATCATGGATTAAATTATGTCCCCCAAAAATGTGTGTCAACTTGGTTAGGCCATGATTCCTGGTATTGTGTGGTTGTCCTCCATTTTATTATAATTGTAATTTCCCTATGTGTTATAAATCTGTGCCTGCAGTTAATGGGGCAAGATTAGATTATGCTAAAGAAGATTAGGGTGGGATTGTAACACCCTGACTAAGGTCGCATCCCTGATCCAATGTAAAGGGAGTTTCCCTGGGGTTTGGTCTGCACCACCTTTTATCTTACAAGAGATAAAAGGAAAGGGAAGCGAGCAGAGAGTGGGGGACCTCATACCACCAAGAAAGCAGTGCCTGGAGCAGAGTGTGTCAATTGGACCCTGAGGTTCCTGTGTGGAGAAGCTCCCAGACCAAGGGAAGATTGATGACAAGGACCTTCCTCCAGAGCCAACAGAGAAAACCTTCTCCTAGAGCTGGTGCCCTGAATTTGGACTTCTAGCCTACTAGGCTGTGAGAAAATAAACTTCTCTTTGTTAAAGCCATCCACTTGTGGTATTTCTGTTATAGCCGCACTAGATGACTAAGACACCTCCTCTATAAGACCCTTTTCTAGGACTCTATCATCTCTGATTACCCTCCAAAAAACCCAAACCTGTTGCCATTTAGTCAATTCTGACTCACAGTGACACTATAGGACAGAGTAGAACTGCTGCATAGGGTTTCCAAGGCTGTAATCTTTACGGAAGCCGACTGCCACATCTTTCTTCTGTGGAGCGGCTGGTAGGCTCAAACTTTCGGGTTAGCAGCCAAGCACTTAACCATTGGCAACTAGGGCTCCTTTTCATCTCTGCTTACATGTCTATAATGACAGGATGCTCACTACCTCCTGAATCAGCCCAGTGCATCCATGAGCAGTTTTTATAGTTAGAAAATGTTTGTGTTTGGAAATCTACATCTTGATAATCTCAGGGGTCCCATGGAACACTTCTGTTCCCTCTTCCCCAGGTCAGCCCATTAGAGATTTCCAGAATGTGGCCATGTTTCACCTAATCCTTCATCTGTTCTCCATGTGACACCCAGGGAGCTAGGGCTCAGGAAGGGCCTGAGCTGGAGAGGGAAGAATGGAGGGTCATCAGCTTATCACTGGTAGCAGAAGCCACACAGGAGAAGGTGAGAACCACCCAGGGACAGCAAGAAAGTGAGAAGGGGGCACAGAGCCCAGGGGATGATGCAAGAATAATGCATCATCAAGGAGATGCAGAAGGGGGATCAGAAAAGGAGGGGACTGAGAGAGTGTGAGCTCTCCTTCTTGTCTGGCTGCAAGGAGCAGGGACTCATCCAAGTTACTTTAGTACGGTGGGGTGGGGAGAGTGGTGGAGGCTGTAAGGACAGTGGGAGGACAGAGATCTCATGAGAATCCAACATGAACCACAGCAAGCAGACCTGAGGGAGCAGGAGCCTGGGCACTTCTGGAACGCACTCCCCTCTCAGGCAAGTGAACTCTCCCTCTTATGACGACGCTCACTCTTAGCATGTCTCTTTCCTCACAGCCCAGTTTCCACATGGTCCTCATGGTCAACCCAGCTTCTCTTCACCCCAGTTCCCCTGCCACCTGCCCCATTCTCTCCTCAAGTCCCAGTTCAATGCCAAGAAATAAAGAAGATCATTTGTTCAACTCTTTTTTTTTTGGTCCCAGGCCACCTTATATGTCATTGACCAGCCAGTCAGTTTGGCTGCCCTTGAGCCAGGCACCCACTCTGTCCAATCAGCTGAGAGTGGGTGGTCACATGGTACAAAGAATGGCTGCCCAGGAGGTGCCCTTTGAGGAAGGGCTGAGGGGAGAGGAACAACTTTCTTATGAGGGGCTGGGGTCATCCCAGGCACTCTTGTGTCCCTAAAGCCAAGGGAGGAGAAAGGGTCAGGAGAAAGGAGTAGATAGCAGTGTCCTGGGATGCAGGATTTAATGATGAGGGATCATGTCATAATGATGGTAATGGGGTATGAAGAATCAGCTTTGTTTGAAGATCAAACTTTCTTCACCCATCCTTGAGACATTGCCTGCAGCTGAAATAAGAAGATGGTCTAACTGGAAAATATTCATTTGAACTGTGACTCAGTGCTTCTTGAGCTCAGGGCAGTGCATTCCATAATCAGATGCTGCTCAAGTGTTTCTCCCACATGGGCAGAGGCTGGAGAGGCCATTAGCAGGAGAAACTGGACCCACTTCCCGTGAACGATTTAAAAAGCATCCCTTACACCATACTCCAAGGAGCTTCCCTGGCTCAGAGCTTTCACTTCTGAGGCTTCCCTGACGGACGGCCTCAGCCCTTGACGTGCTAATTTTTACTATCCAATCTGCTGAGTTTTTACCTCCTGGCACAGCTTGTAAATTCTCTTTTCACAGTTAACGGAGGCTTAGGGCTTCTGCCACTGAGAAGCATGGTAGTTTGGTGTGCTGTAATTGTGAAATACACACCAGATGTGGAAGACAAATTTTTAAGTTTATTTTGAGTTTACTTAGCGGTGTTTTCTTCCCCCCAACCAACTCTTACTCAGGACCCTATCTATAAAGCAGGTTACAAAGGGGCTGTTCTGGTTCAGGTGGGCCATGTTGGGAGCCCAGGAGGCTTTACACCTTCCTGCCTGTCCCATCCCTCCCTCCCAGACCTGGTCCAGTCTTTCCATTTTAAGGATAGGAAAACAGGATCAGAGGAGAGAAGGGACTCACCCAAGATTCCAAGGACACTGCAGCTGAACTCAGGTGTGCTCATTCCCCTCCTCAGGGGCACCTCTGGGCCAGGCACAGGGCTAGGCTCCAGGCACATGGCGACAATAAGACAGAGGGACCTTACAGTCTTGTGATGGTGTGTGTGGGAAAGCAGCCTCCTAATAACGGCTATCATTTATTGAGCCTGTGCTGAACACACTGTGCACCTTATCTGCTGTCTCCACTTCATCCTCATAACATCTGTAGGATGAGTACTGTCACCCTCTCACCCTACAAAGAAATGCAGTCCAGTGATTTCCAACTTTTTTTTTTTAACTACAGAACCCTCTCTTCAAGGGAAATCTTATTTGAAACCCCAAATATACAAAATAGCTAAAATCAGGGTTGTACCCCCTCACTCAGCCTCTCCTTCTTACCACCCCACCCCTGCAACCCTGCAGTGGCCCTGGAGGCACTTCCTGAGTCTGAGAGGTCCCCTGGGCACAGTTTAAAAACCACCAACATGGTTGAAAAACATGATGAACATATTTAATGTCACCGACCTGTATATGTGAAGATTGTTGAAATGACCGATGTTTTGTTACCTATATATTTACCACAGTAAAAAAAGAAAGAGAAGAGGAAGGCGGGGGGAGAGAAAGGGGGAGGAAGGGAGGAAAGAAAGGAATGAAGGAAAGAAGAAAGAAAGAAAAAACACCAATGTGATCCAGCTATTTCATTTTACAGATGGGCAAACGGGGGCCCAGAGAAGTGAAGGAACTTCGTGAGGGTCACCCAGGGAGTTACCATCACAACTGGCTCTCCAACCAAAGTGTTATGAATCTCAGGCCTGTGCTCCATCCATGACGCCTCTTTTATTAATGAAACGGATGCCTTTTGTTAATACTTATAAAATACAATATCTTCCAAGCTGTATTTTAAGACTGAGCTTACAGTGGGCTCTACTAATGTACTAGTTTTCACCTCCCACCCACCCTGCCTCTTCCCCATCTCCAGTTCCCTCACGTCACCGACCGCAGGAAGAGAATCCTCTTTACAGAAACCACCCCGTGAGCCAAGTGGATAAGTGTGGCTTGAAGCTGACAGCTTCATAGTTTACCTCAGGAGTTCTCAGTTCCTCTTAGCTTATTTAATTTAATGCCTCATCATTCCATGACATTCACAGGGACACTTATCATCAGAAAGAGCTTTTTAAAGTATGAAATAGGATTTTTTAATTCAACAGCACCTTGGAGGTATGTAAGTGGTGCACTAATTTTCCTGTTTGTGGAAAGAGGGAGTCTTCTTCAGGAGATGTGAAGGTGTTTCTGATGATTGCACCTCTCAGGGTGACATCTCTGAGCCCCACATCCCTTCCTCAGCAGTCCCCATGGTTTCCACCTACTTCTTAACTCCTTCCCTGGTTCATTTTTCACCAGCCAGCTTTTTTTTTTAATTGTACTTTAGATGAAGGTTTGCAGAACAGTTTCTCATTAAACAGTTAGTACACATATTGTTTTATGACAATGGTTAACAACCCCATGACATGTCAACACTGTCCCTTCTCACCCTTGGGTTCCCTATTACCAGCTTTCCTGTCCCCTCCTGTCTTCTAGTCCTTGACCCTGGACTGTTGTGCCCCATTAGTCTCCTTTTGTTTTATGGGCCTGTCTAATCTTTGGCTGAATGGTGAACCTCGGGAGTGACTTCATTACTGAGCTAAAAGGGTGTCCAGGGGCCATACTCTCGGGGTTTCTCCAGTCTCTGTCAGGCCAGTAAGTTTTGTCTCTTTTTTGCGAGTTAAGAGTTTTGTTCTACATTTTTCTCCAGCTCTGCCCGGGACCCTCTGTTGTGATCCTGGTCAGAGCAGTCAGAGGTGGTGGCCGGGCACCATTTAGATGTACTGGACTCAGTCTGGTGGAGGCCGTGGTAGTTGTGGTCCATTAGTCCCTTGGACTAATCTTTCCCTTGTATCTTGTTTTCTTTATTCTCCCTTGCTCCCGAAGGGATGAGACCAGTGAATTATCTTAGATGGCTGCTCACAGGCTTTTAAGACCCCAGACGCTACTCACCAAGGTAGAATGTAGAACATTTTCTTTATAAACTGTGTTATGCCAATTGAGCTAGAAGTTCCCCTCACGAGCCAGCTTTGATATGGAGTCCTTTCTCCTCTGTTCCCTCACTCTGGCTCTTTCTTTCTCCAGGGTCAGTCCACGACTCTTATACAGGTTTTATTGCAAATCATCTAGAAAAAGAGTCTGGTGGCAAAGATAACAGACATGGGGTGCTCCCAAGATCCCAAACCTGTCCAACTTCCCAAGAGGTGTGTCCCAGCTTGTCCTGTCCCTACCTACGTCCCTTCTTGTGTGGTTCCGAGTGTCTTTCTGATGTGACCCAGCAGTGAGTCTAAGTCTATTTTCCAACTTCGTTTCATAGGATTCGAATTCCAGGAGCAGTTTCTCAGAACAATGGTTTCATGGTCAAAAAGGTTTGGGAAATTCTGTTTGCAACCTACCCCTTTGGTGATGTCCAATGCATGGTAGCAGACCAAAGTTTTTGAGAAGTTCTGCAGTCAAGAGTGGAACTTTGTATAACCCAGATCTGTTTGAGTGCCAAAAAACATGTGTTTTGCAGCCCACCTAAAAGACACTAATAGTTTGGAGGTGGTTCTGAAATCTCTGTGAGCCTGTTCTGGAAGCTTCCACGTTCATCATCAGGGTCCCACTTGCCCCTGGATGGAGATGAAGGATCCTTTCCTTTTCCTGGCTCCACTCAGGAAAAGTCAAATCAGGTTGTTCTCTGAGGGCCTCCGGGGAGACTCTGCATCTATACCAGAGCACTGTCAGCTGGTTGTGCTTTCCTTGGAACTAAATAGAAATGAATCAAGGGGGGGCCATTTATGGTCTGAACGTTGCATTCCTGGAGTCTGGTTAAAGGAAAACATAGGCGAAGCTGAGCCGTTCTCAGAGAAAGATGGCACTGTGGTTTTCTGTGCTTGGAAAGCAAGTCTTTTCTTATCAAGCTGGCTGTCAGATTTCTCTTACAAATATACCCACACACACGCACACTTAAACTAACAGAACATGCTCTCTGTTTTCAAAACTGGAGGCTTTTTCTGTTAGCTTAGCGACCTTTAGTTTTGGTTTTTGAAAATTAATTGTTTTTAACTAACAACTAGTTTTTTGATTGCTTGGTTGGTTGTCTTCTCCTCATCTTCTTTTCTCTCTACTCGGGAAAATTCCATCAGCCATTTCACAGATGAGCATGGATTTTGTTTGTTTGCGTGGGGGTCTAAAAACAGAAACTGCTGTGAAGAAGGTGATGTCAAGGGTATATATGGTGAGTTACATACAGTACTGCTTTCTACCCTGCAGCATTTAAAAAAGCCTCGAGCTACTGTCTCACTGATTAGCCTGTCAGCTTCAGAAAGGAAGGCTAATGGCTCAGCTCACGTAAGTCAAAGGACAGACAGCAGGGACTAACAGAGATAACAGCAGCTTCTGCAGCAAGCTAATGTTTTCCAAGAGGAGAAGAGCCCAAATTCTCCGCAAGGCTGTCTGATTGGACCATCCAATGCAGGTGGAGAACTGAAATTGAGTTCATTTCAGTAAAAACTTCCTCCCACATATAGGTCAATTGGCATAACAAAGTTTGTTAAGAAAATGTTCTGCATCCTACTTTGGTGAGTGGCGTATGGAGTCTTAACAGCTAGTGAGCGGCCATCTAAGATGCATCAATTGGTCCCAACCCACCTGGAGTAAAGGAGAATGGAGAACACCAAAGACACAAGGAAAGCATTAGCCCAAGAGACAGAAAGGGCCACATGAACCAGAGACTGCAATAGCCTGAGACAACAACTGGATGGTGCCCAGCTACCACCAATGACCGCCCTGACAGGGAACGCAACAGAGAGTCCCTGACGGAGCAGGGGAAAAGTGGGGTACAGAACTCAAATTCTACTAAAAAGACCAGACTTAATGGTCTGAGACTGGAGGAACCCCAGAAAGCATGGCCCCCAAACTTCTGTCAACCCAGAACTAAAACCATTCCCGAGGCCAATTCTTCAGACAAAGATTAGACTGGACTATGGGGCATAAAATGATATTTGTGAGGAGTGTGCTTCTTAGCTCAAGTAGATACATGAGACTAGATGGGCAGCTCCTGTCCGGAGGTGAGATGGGAAGGCAGAGACGGTCAGGAGCTGGTTGAGCGGACACAGGAAATCAGGGGTAGAAAGGAGGAGTGTGCTGTCACAGTATAGGGAGAGCAATTAGGGTCACATAATAATGTATGTATAAAGTTTCGTATGACAGACTAACTTGAATAGTAAACTTTCACTTAAAGTACAACAATAAAATTAAATTAAAAAAAAAAAAAAAGACTTCTTCCCATGTGCATGGCCATGGGCTAGGCCCTGGGGAGCAGAGGTGGGGGGATGAAGCAAACCTGGACCCTGCCCGCGGGGAAGTCAAGCGGGAGACTGTGTAGAGAGGTGTGGACCTAGACCAGTGCTATGGGCCAGATGAGCTTTGCTTAGTGAGGGGATGCTGTGGCTTCACAGAGGAAGTGACACGTGAGCCGGGCTTGAAGGGTGCACGACTCAGCCATGTTATCAAATTTAGTCGAGCTGGAGGACAAAAGGGCTGACGATCTCTTGCCTTCCCAGATTAAGTGAGAGACAGTGTGGGTAGTGGGGAGCACTGGGGTCTGATATCAGGGGTCCTGGGTCAAGCCCTAGGTCAGCCTTCTGTTTCCTCAGTGATTAAATGGTTTAAATTAGAAGACCCAGCTTATAGGGTGTGTCATGAGGATCAAATGAGTTAACAGGTGTGAAAATGTTATGGCTATGGGAAGTAGCAAAGACAGGATTCAAACACAGGTGTTAGGTATCTTCCATGAAATGCAAACCAACGGTAGCCTTCTGTAGCAAAAGAGAGCACAGCCTGGGACGTGAGGGATGTGGACACTGGTCCCTTTGAGCCCTCCTGGCACATCATTTCTTCCCTCTGGGTCAGCTTCCTTGGGAGTAAAAATGAGGGGTCCAGACTAGGCAGTCCCCTTTCTGCATGACACTAAGTGATTCTATGAAAAAGGTGTTGTGATATGATGGCTAGAGCAATGCGGGCTCTGAAAGCCAGCTGATCTGCGTTCAAATTGTGGTTCAGCCACTTCCTAGTAGTGTGATTGTGGGTGAGTCAGTTATCGCTCTCTAAGCCTCAATTTCCTCGTCTGTAAAATGGAGATAACAATAAATATCTACCTCATAGGTTAAATGAGAAAATCCTTATGATTTGTTTAATGTGCTGCCTGGCATATGGTAGTAAAAGTCAGCTAGTATATTGGCAAATATTTTGTTATATATTTTTACCACAATAAAAAAATTTTTTTAAAGCTATTATTGTCGGCTACTTTTTGTAAAGATTAAATGAGACATTGTAAGGCCTGCATGTAATAGGTGCTCAATTAACTACTGATGACCTGCCTTTTTAAAAATCAGCTTTGGCAGAGTCTCTGGCATTCATGATTCCCATTGGGATGTGGGGTGAAACGTAGAGGTGTATACAGAAAAGTATTCAAACTACAAGTATTCAACTTGAAGAATCAAATTGTTTTTAGGTACTCTTAAGCCATTTATAATTACCCATTTACTTGTAATCAACGATCATGCCAGTTGCAACTTATTGAATCACATGCCCTAAGGACTTTTATCTTGCACAGTTTTGTCAGAGAATTAGTCCAAATTAGGGCAGCATTCCGCCATAGTAATTACTATCCTGGCAATTTATGAAACATGCCCAGGTTTCCACGTGAGTGATGAGCATCAGCCTGAGACTCTGAGAGCACCAGTCTTGTCCAAGAAGGCTCTTCCTAAGTCTCTTCTCTTTCTGATAGGTCATAGATCTGCACAGAAGCTACAAAACAAAGACAAGTTCTCCCACGATGTCATACAGACGAGAACTAGAGAAATATCGTGACCTGGATGAAGATAAAATCCTTGGAGCCCTAACAGAGGAAGAGCTCAGGACCCTGGAAAATGAGCTGGATGAGCTGGACCCTGATGTGAGTAGGCATGAAAGTGGAACACATTGTCATAGGTACAGGAACAGAAACCCATAATTACCACTTGGGGGAGGGACAGGTGTAAACTTCCTGAAGCTACCACTATCTGTTTCCTTCTGCGGCAATGATATTGAAATAAACATTGCCTTTGCAGATTTTGTTTTGTTTTGGTTTTCTTTTTAAATGTGTCATAGCAAGGACTAGAAGACAGGAGGGGACAGGAAAACTGGTGATAGGGAACCCAAGGTTGAGAAAGGACAGTGTTGACATGTCATGGGGTTGTTAACCATTGTCAGAGGGCAATATGTATACTGTTTAATGAGAAACTGTTTTGTTCTGTAAACCTTCATCTAGAGTACAAAAAAAAAAAAAAAAAAGAATTAAATGTGTCATTGAATGAATTAGCTGAGAAATAAAGGACTAGAAGTATTCCTTCCACTTGTGTGATGTTTTATCATCACATTTCATAGCATATTTAAGAAGTTTGTTTAATGCTCAGTGTTCACCTCTGCAGTCAGGATACACAGTGTCAAGAGGAAGGAGAACACTTGGTCCTGTAGGGAGTTTGGCCAGCCACGTTGGAGCGGTGAGCAGGGCCAAGGGAGGAATTTGTAGATGGCCTACTGTACAGAGACTTTTGTCCTTTATCTCCATCCCAGGTACCCAGGTTAATGCCCAGCACTGAGCAAGTAAGTAATGAGTATTACTGAATTAAATGAATTTTCCATTTGATATATATTTTTAAATTAAAAGAACATTTCACTTTTTTTTTTTTTAAACCACCCATTGCCAAACTCTTGTTTAGCAGTGATCCGTAAACAAAACAACACTTTAGTACCGTTTTCACTAACTCTCAGATAATCACTTCTAATGTAGCAGGCGCAGTGTTTAAGAGCTGAGGCTGCTAACCAAAAAGTCAACGGTTCAAATCCACCAGCCGCTTCTTGGAAACCCTATGGGGCAGTTCTACTCTGTCCTATTGGGTAGCTATTGAGTTGGACTCAATGGCAACAGGTTTGGTTTTTTTTGGTAAATGTAGAAGGAGCACAGTTTAGCAAGAAAAATGCAGGACTAGAGGTTTGATAGAAATCCCTGGATGGTGCAAACAGTTAATACGCTAGGCTACTAACCAAAAGGTTGGAGGTTTGGAGGTTCGAGTCTACCCAGAGGCACCTTGGAAGAAAGTCCTTGAGTCCTACTTCCAAAAAATCAGCCATTGTAAACCATATGGAGCACAGTTGTATTCTGACACACATGGGGTCGCCATGAGTCAGAATCAACCGAACAACAACTGCTTTAGAGGTTTGATGTTCCAGTTGCAACCCTGGCTTTGTCTCCTATACTCCATGTGACCTTGGGCCAGTTGCTGTCCTTCCTTAGGCCTCAGTGTCCCTGTCTTAGTTATCTAGTGCTGCTATCACAGAAATAACACAAATGAGTGGCTTTAACAAACAGAAATTTATTTTCTCACAGTTCAGGAGGCTAGAAGTCCAAATTCAGGGTGCCAGCTCTAGGGGAAGGTTTTCTCTCTCTGTCAGCTCTGGAGGATGATCCTTGTCTCTTTTTGAGCTTCTGCTCCTGGGTGATCTTCATGTAACCTGGCATCTTTCTTCTCCCATCTCTGCTTGCTAGCTTGTATTTAATCTCTTTTATATCTCAGAAGAGATTGAGTCAAAATACACCCTATACTAATCCTGTCTCATTAACATAACAAAGACAACCCATTCCCATTGGGATTGTAACCACAGGCATAGAGGTTAGAGTTTACAACACATATTTTAGGGGGAAGTAGTTCAATCCATAACAGTCTTCATCCATGAAATGATGGGAGTTGGTTGGTTCCTTTTCAAGTCTTACCTCCAGATGCGATTAGATGGAGTATTTCTAGATAACGCAGAATCCTTGTCCTGTGTCCCAGGCCCTGTAGAACGAGATGCCCCTCCAGCAGTGCATCCTCATCCTGTTACTCACGACTCTCCCCTGCCCCAGCCACGAGGCGGTGGTTTCCCTGATGAAGCAGCTCAAGTGGATGAGAAGGCAGCCTTGGTGGCTAGAGCTTTGGATCTCCTCCTTGCTCCTCTGCACCATTTTTTCCCATTAGACTGGGTTTCAGTAAAAACAAATGATGAAGGCAAGGAACACTCAGGCTTCTGGCTTTGCTGCTGTAAAATTATTCTTTTCTAATTCTACCCACTGTCCCATAGAATTACAGTTGGACAAACTTGACTCAGTCACCTGCCATGTGCCAGGAGCTCCGTCTGGTAGGGATGAGAGCATACTATGTCCTAAACGGGAGCAGACAGGGGGCTCAGAGAAAGGATTAATTCTTACTGGCTGGAGGCTTCACAGAGCAGGTGATATTGGAACTGAGCCCTGGATTTTTCTAAGCTGAGACTAAAAACAGAGAATTCCAGGCCAAGTGAACACCACGAGCAAAGTCTTGGGTACGAAAGGTAACTGGGGATGGTAAATCTCAGTATGATTTCTGTGGAGAGTTAGATAGGACTGGAAAGGGGGTTGGGACTAGACTAATGAGGCTGGGGCAGGGTTTGCATACCAGACTGAGGAGTCTGGACTTTTCTTCTCGGGCCCTGGGAGCCCTGGAGGGATAGGGGCTCTATGGGCTTGGTGGTTTAGGAAGCTGATCATGAAGACAGAAGGACTGGAGGAGTGCCTGGGAGATGTGTGAGCGGTGGGAGCGGCTGATATGGAAGCTCCCATCACCCTGCCAGCAGGGTGGGACAGTTCTTTTCCTGAAGATAAGGGAGGCCCCTGCCCCTCTCCACAACTCTTCCCGCCATATTGTAGAGGCTTTGCTGTTCCCAGGGAGGAGAAGTGAGGCCCCCACAGGTCTCACAGTCCTGTTGCCTCTGGCCTTCTGTGTGGTTAGAGTTGTCCTGAGCCATCAGGATGGAACTGAGGATAGATGAGGCTGTGGCTGCAAATAGGGCGAGAATGAAAGTCAGAGTTAAGCGCGTGGGGACGGGGCTGATGGAGGAGCCCTCTCAGGACTGAGTGTAGCCCCTGCGGACTGCCCTGAGGCCCCAGCCCAAGCTCTGGTTCATTTCTAAATTGGCAAAGAGCTCCCACACATGTTCCCCTTCAGAGCCCTGCACCCAAATATCAGAACATCTGGCCCCACAGCAAATTCCCAGGGCCTCTGTACCTCTGGGCAGGCAGCTCTTCCTCCTTCCAGCCCTCCTTGCAGGTGACCAACAGGAAAGGGAGGGTGTGCTGTGCCCACTGGAGGCTATAGTACCTAAGGCTTAAGCAACCTCACTAACTTGCCTGTCAGTCGCACAATTAGGATGTGGAGACTCGGGTTTCAAATAAGCTCCTAAGTATGTGCACCTCCCACTCCAGCCCGAAAGTAACTGTGAGTATGGATCTGGGAGTAAAAAACAAAAAACAAAAACAACCAAAAACCCCAAAGCCATTACCGTTGAGTCAATTCTGACTCATAGCGACCCTATAGGACAGAGTAGAACTACCCTGTCATAGGGATTCCAAGGCCATAATCTTTACAGTAGCAGACTGCCACATCTTTCTCCCATGGAGCTGTTGGTGGGTACAAACCACTGACCTCCCGGTTAGCAGCCAGATGCTTTAACCACTGTGCAACCAGGCTTCCGTGAATTTGGGAGTCAGGATGGGAAATCTAAGACCTGTGACTCTTATACCATTGTGGTTTTAAAATGGACGCTTTTAAAGATCCCTTTCTTTCTAAGTTCAAAGAGAAAACAGAGAGGATAGGAGGTAACGGAAACCAGTGGGTTGTTTGTGCCAGCCACATAGTTAGCTCCTTCACTGAGATCTTCTCTGTTACCTGATTTGCAAGACAGTATGTGGTTTCTGAAAAGGTCTAGTGGGCCTCCTTTCCTTCTGAGAGCGCAAACATTTCAGCTCATGTTTCACCCTATTTTGGCCCACATTCTGAAATCACAGCACAGGGAGAGGCCAAAGGTATGCAGACCGTGAGAGGCCTCTGAGTCAGGAAGGGACACAGAGACCAGCAGGTGTCCAACCCCCCACTTACAGAGCGGGAACTGAGCCCAGAGAGGGAAAGGAACTTGCTCTAGGTCTCACGTCCAAACAGTGAGAACCAGACCAGAACCCAGATCCTTTGGCGCCAGCGCCAATGCCCTCCGTTATACTCTGTACTCCTCTTCTGTTTATTTTTGCTTAACAAGTACAGGCAGTCCCTGCGTTACGAATGAGATCCATTCCTAAGTCTGTCTTTAAGTCAAATTTGTAGGTAAATTGGAACAGGTACATATGGCTCTTATTTAGCGTCAGTTAGTCAAATGTTTGTCTTAGTATATAGTATATATTTTACCTTTCTATGCATATAAAACACTTCCAAACCACGCAGTGTTTTCATGAGCGTCACAAAGTAATGCATGTGTTCATTATTATGAATCATTATATTTAACACAAATTTTAATATAATAGACTTTATGGCAGTGCGTTCTTGAGCACGAGTTGTCCGTAAGTCGGCCATTCGTAACTCCAGGACTGCCTATACTTATATGGCACTTACTATAGGCAGGCACTCATTTAATTATCATCACAACTCTAAGATGCAGGCACTGTTATCATCCCCATTTTACAGATGAGGAAACTGAGAGGTGAAATAACTTGTCCTGGATCTTACAACAGAGTCTTAACATGGTTCTAGAGTTCACGCTCTCGGCCACGCCACTGTAAGTCTTCACGTGAGTCTTCAGGAAGGTACTCTGGTATCCTGGTTCAGGAAGGTAATGTATTACAAAAGCATCCTCCTTTCGTTCTGGAAAGAGCCTGAGAGGTAGGAATCCATATTCGAGTCCTGGCTCTGCTCCGGACTCAGGCACATGCTTTCCCTCTTTAGATCTCACTTTCCCTATCTGTAAAATGGACAAAGTCAGCCTAGGTGCCCTCCCACGCCCCCTCTAGCTCTAACCATCTATGAGTCTATGAGCAATTCTGGCAGTCTTATTATCTGTATTGAGCAAACACTT